CTTCTGCTTCTACAAAGAGAAAGGAAAAGGTGATTTCCCCAATAAGGCAGATTTCCTACAAATATGTAGTTTTGCGACTGTTTTTCCTTTTTGAAATCGCTGCTTGTTCTTTGGTAGTCACCAGTTGAGAATCTACAGTTTCCTGGGGATGGTGACAGAACCCAAGCTGTAATCCCAAATGTTGTCACTTCACGTTCCCACCACTGGTCCACAGGACAAGCCTGCTGTCCTCACACGGTCGCAGTGCTATAGCAGAGTGCTGACAATCTTCTTTCAATACTAGATTTATCTAGAAATTAAATAATGAAAATTAAATTCAAAATAAAAATCATTTATTTTTCAAAACCAAGATAAGAACAACTAAAAAAACCACAAACTCTCTCAAACTCCCTACATACACTGTCATTTCTATTCTATCTTTGCCTCAAAGTTAACAGTTCTGAATAAATTTTCTTCTTTCAGCCTGTTAACTGTTTAGACAGCATTTCTAGCTTAGTGCTGCATAGTGGTAAAATTTAGAGAAGCATATCATATAAAGAACTCTTAGATTTTTAACAACTAGCTTGCTCAATTTAATTGCAAACAATTTCAGGATTGCCATCCCCTTGTGGCTATTCAAAATGTGGTCTGACCACATATACTCCAAGATTACAGGGTTTATATTTGATAAGTAATAATATTATCCTTGTGTCCTGTCAATCTCTATGCTGCTGTCTATACCAAATCTTCAGTATATAGTATCTTCATAGGATTCTTCAGTCACTAAGCCCAAGAGGCTTAAACTAGTTGCACTGAATAATAAAAGCAGAGTTCTCCTATACACACACACACACTTGCCAACAAAGTAATGCAGTGCAGAAATCTGAAGACCAACGACAGAAGCCATCAGTGTTTTGCATGCATTATTAGGCAGTGTTATCCTCATCTTACAAAAGAAGAAATGGAGACCACAGAAAGGTTAAGCGTTTTGCTCAAGGTTGGAAAGCCAAGCTTCAAATCTAGACAATATGATTCCAATCTCCAAGCTCTTTCTATTTATTCCTATAGGAGATAACTAAACTGCAGTAAATAAACACACTACCTTATAGGTCAACTTACATTTATGTACATTTTCAATATCTGCAGGGTCCTGTAGAATCTTAGTTAGACCTTCCAAGAGAAGGGCTGCCTTGTGATAGCGATAAACAATATCTTCAGTTTGCTGGAACATCTCATCCAGGGCTGCAGACTGAACCTGGAACCGGTCAACAAAAATGAGAAGATTCTCAATTCTTCCAAGAAAATACAAATCCACTTGCGCAATGCAGCTTTAAATGGAATCTACCCAAAATTAACACATTTTGATGAACTTATATAATCTACCAAACTATATAAAACTTAAAGATTCATCAGGATGAGCA